TAGGTAGGTATCTACGTATGAATGTATGTGTCTGTATGTGCGTGTGTGTGTGTGTGTAGATGTGTGTATGCATGTGTGTATGTGTGTGTATGTGTGTGTATGTGTGTGTATGTGTGTGTGTATGTATGCATGTATCTATGTATGTATGTATGTATTGGTGTATGGATGTATGGATGTATGGATGTATGGATGTATGGATGTATGGATGTATGGATGTATGGATGTATGGATGTATGGATGTATGGATGTATGGGTGTATGGCTGTATGCATGTATGCATGTATGCATGTATGCATGTATGCATGTATGCATGTATGCATGTATGCATGTATGCATGTATGCATGTATGGATGTATGGATGTATGGATGTATGGGTGTATGGGTGTCTGGATGTATGGATGTATGGATGTATGTATATATGTATGTATATATGTATGTATATATGTATGTATATATGTATGTATGTATGTATGTATGTCCTGTTGTGTTGTGTGCGTGTATGCGTGCGTTGTGTAGGTGGTGTGTAAATTGGTGTGATGTGTGTAAAATATGTTGGTGTTGTATGTGTGTATGTGTGTATGTGCGTATGTGCATATGTGCGTATGTGCGTATGTGCGTATGTGCGTATGTGCGTATGTGCGTATGTGTGTATGTGTGTATGTGTGTATGTGTGTATGTGTGTATGTATGTATGTATGTATGTATGTTTGTCTGTATGTTTGTATGTCTGTATGTATGTATGTAGGTATGTAGGTATGTAGGTATGTAGGTATGTATGTATGTATGTATGTGTGGCTGGTAGTCAGAGATGCTGCAAAGACTAGCAAATACGAGGCTGGACCTTAGAAATGCTACCAATAGCTTGCAAATAGATGGGAAGGGGGTGTTACCTGGGGACCCATCCCATGGGGGGTGGGAACACGGGACACGGGACCATATATATATATATGAGTTACTATATAATGTATAGCTACAAATTTACAAATTGTCTAATTGGATTTAATATGATTTAATTATATTATATAGCCATATCATATTGAGATATCATACGGTGAAAACGTTTTTTATCAGTCACTAGTTCGGACGATGCGTTGGACCACCATGAACGAACTTGTTGCTTTAAAGAAAAAAACATGTGTTGGTATATAGAAATTAAAAAATCAAAATGGACGGTTCATATTTTAACATGTGTTATATTATGCTATATTACGTATCTATATACAATTGTCTAATGTTCTATAAATGTTATATATGTAATTGTACTATGGTATTCATGTAGCCAGAAGGTTCATATTCTGTTGGTTTTCGAAGCCGGGATCAACTGGGCATTGCTCACTTTGGAAGTCGGTCCGGTTTCAGCTCGTCGACCCAAATCAAGTTGCCCTGGCAGAAATCCATCACTAACATGGGAGGGTCCCAAGAGAAGTTGGAGAGGAACAAGAGTCCTTAAAATCCATAAAATTCCGATTCTGGAAATAAATGGGTCAATGGGTCAATGGCTATTCACCTAATTATATCTAATGATGCATAGAAACTTTATATATATATATATATCGTCACCAATCATACAAGGAAATAGCCAAAAATGTCCCTTGATTCCTGGACCCTTTGGGAGATAAAACAAAAAAGCTAACATCTGGCTATCTAATCGTTTGCGAACTGAACAATCACCGTATTTTAGAGCTTAGCAAGTGGTTTATGTAATCCATATATAACTTAACCCATATAATTCCATATAGAACTGGGGATATTCCAGATATAAATGGGGGTATAACATGGTATAACCCATTTAGGAAGTAGGATGCAGCCCCACGTAAATCATCATGGTTATCATCGAACTAAATGGGCCATGGCTTCCAGTTTGCATTTGCTGCCTCGGTGTCGAAGGTGTGAGGTCTCTTAGACATCTCCTCATGCAATTGCTGCACCTGTGCCACGGGTCATGCCACGGAAAAGTGGTGAGTGCTGCTGGGGTCAAATTCGAATTCACTTCTGAAATGTATCAAAATGTCGGAACATAGATCTTTCAAGAGGTTAGAACTTGTGTAAAACCCAGTTATAAAGTCGAAATGTTACTTTCACCACGAATCGGAGACGGAGCCGATCACCGGATCTATTTGTCCAAGTAGGGATATAGAACTATAGAACCAAGATCAACCAAGCATATATCATGGGAATGTCAGCCTGGATATGATATGAGATATGAATTTCTATGAATTTCTGCTACCCCATCTCCCAGGCTCTAATTAATTGTCTTAGCCTGGATATGATGATTGCCAACTTACCTATCCCTTGGGGGCCCTTCGTGTAGCTGGTGGTCCCAAATCCATGTGGTCCTGGTTATCATAGGTTTTTGGCCTTAAAGATAGGACTGACACTTTTCAAAGTGTCTCTTCAACCAATGATATTCACCCCCACTCTGGAAACCAAAAAGATGATAAAAGATGATAAAAGACTTGAGAGGGGGAACACGAAAGGTAGGTAAGCAAGAAAGGAACCGAA